GGAGCCCCGTGGATCCTGAAGATGCTGTCCATGAACAGCGTTGCCGTTTCTTCGGCCGTGATGGAGGTACTGCAAGCCCGGAAGTGGGCCATCTTCGTGAGCCTGTCGACGAACACGGCAATTGCGTCGAAGCCTTCGGACTTGGGAAGTTCGACCACAAAGTCCATGGATACGGCCGACCAGGGTGACTCCGGGATCGGGAGTGGCTTAAGCAGTCCGTATGGTGCGTGGCGTGCTGGCTTGGCTCTGCAGCACGTCTCGCAGGACTGCACGTACTTGCGCACCGTGGCGGCCATCTTGGGAAACCAGTAGTTCCTGCTCAGGAGCTCCAGTGTTTTCTCCCTCCCAAAATGGCCCGCCGTCCTCGAGTCGTGGCTGTCCCACAGCACTTCAAGCTGCAGCTCGGTGGTCGGGACATACAGCAACCCGTCTCGGAAGAGGAGTCCATCTCGGAGGCGGAAGGCATGGAATCGCGGGTTGGTCAGGTTTGCGATTACTTCCTGGGCATAGGGGTCAGTCTGTTGAACTGCCTTGACCTTCTCCTCGAATGCCGACAGTGCTATCACCTGAAGGGCAGCGATTCTGAGGCGACTTGCATCCAGCAGCACTTGGTGCTGCTGTGTGTAAGCCGGCTCGTCCGGCTTGATCTCCAGCTGGGGCTTCCTGGAGAGGGCGTCGGGCACGACCATCTCCCTTCCAGGCTTGTACACGATCTCGTAGTCAAACTCGGACAGGAACATCGCCCATCGCGCTTGGCGACGGTTGAGCATGCGACTGGTGGTGAAGTACACCAGGTTCTTGTGGTCACTGTGGACCACCACCTTGTGCTTGGATCCGGAGAGGAAGTGCCTCCACTCCTTGAGTGCCGTGACAATGGCAAGCATCTCCTTGTCGTACACTTCGTAGTTGATCTCTGGTGCCGTCAGCTTGCGTGACATGTACGAGATCGGATGCATCGACTCGTCGGGTCCAAGCTGGCAGAGCACGGCTCCCAAAGCATAGTCGCTGGCGTCTGTCTCAACAACGAATGGCTTATCCGGGTCTGGGTGTGCGAGCACAGGTGCCGTCGTGAAGGCTTGCTTCAGCAGATCGAATGCTTCCTGAGCCGTGGGAGACCACTCGAAACTCCCCGAGTTGCCCGTCAGGGCGTGCAGTGGGGTAGCTATCTTGCTGAAGTCGTGGATGAATGTCCTGTAGTAATTGGCAAGACCCAGGAACATCTGCAATTGCTTCACAGACTGGGGCGGGACCCAGTCGAGGACACCTTGCACCTTGCGGGGATCCATCTTGATGCCCTCGGTGTTGACAATGTGTCCCAGGAACTCGACTTCGTCCGTGTCGAAATGGCACTTCTCGAGCTTGCAGTACAGTCCATTGCGGCGGAGCTGTTCCAGGACAGCACGCACATGGTCTTCGTGTTGCTCGGGGTCCTCGGAGTAAATGAGAATGTCATCCAAGTACACAGCCACACAGTGTCCCAGATCCTTCATGACATGATCCATGAACGCCTGGAATGTGGCCGGCGCACCTTGCAGCCCGAATGGCATCACCAAGTATTCGAACTGCCCCAAAGGGCAAGTGAAACTGGTGAGCCACTCGTGGCCCTCGGCGATCCTCACGAGGTTGTACGCCCCTCGGAGGTCCAGCTTGGTGAAGACTCGGGCGCTTCGGATCTTCCTGAACAGGTCTCGAATGTTTGGCAGTGGGTAGAACTGCTTCTTGCATGCTTGGTTCAAACGGCGGTAGTCGACGCACAGCCGTAGCTCGCCGGATTTCTTCTTCACGAACAGAATTGGAGCGGCAACCGGGGAGGTGCTCCGGCGAATGAATTCCTTGTCAAGGTTCTCCTTGACATAGTCTTGCAGTGCCTGCATCTCCAACTCTGTGAGGGGGTACACCGGGCCACGGACCGGGTGCTTGTCCGGGTCGACCAGCTCGACGCGGTGGTCCCACGGTCGGTGGTCGGGCAAGTGGTCAGCCTGTTGCTTGCTGAACACATCGTTGTAGTCTTCGTATTTGTCTGGGAGCGGGAGGTCTGTTTCCGGAGTTGCGGTGCTCAAGGCTCCAATCAGGACTGGCTGGCCCCGCTTGAGCATTCTCTTGAGGCCCGCGGCGCTGACGAACGACACATGAGGCAAGGTGGGCACGCTCGGAGCGTCTTGTGCGCTCTCGGTATCTGGCTCGGAGGGTGCAGAGTCCGGAGGCAACGACTGACTTGGCTCCGTTGGGAGCGATACGGTTTCGGACCGACACACCTCTTGGCAATGACTGGATGTGAATCGGATGATCTTCTTGCCCCAACGTATCCAAGGCTCGTGGGATTGCAGCCACGGGTAGCCCAGGATAACTTGGTGGTATGGGGACTTGATGATCTTGAAGGTGATGACTTCCTTGTGGCTATCGATGTCCATCACAAGGGGCAAGGTCTCGTGCGAGATGCCCCCGGATGTGAGTGGTTGGCCATCGATGGCCCGTCCATCAATGGGGCTGTCCAAGCATCGGAGTGGAACTTGGTGGCGTTGGGCAAAGTCAGCATCCATGCAGTTCAGCTGGGCCCCAGAGTCGATGAAGGCCTTGGCGGTAAACTGGGACTCTTGGGATTGGCAAGATACGGGAATCTCAAAGCACATTGGTGAAGTACCACTCGAGAGGCTGCTGATGAGTGCACGCTCTGCATGGGTAGGGTCAGGAGGTTTGTTGTTGGAGTCCGGCGGGGCTCCTGATGCAGCCGCCGGACTCAGCGAAAACCCTGCTGTTGCTTCTCAGGGCAGTGCTTTGCGATATGGCCTTTGCCTCCACAATAGAGGCAGAGGCCCAAGCGACGACGTCGGTCGCGCTCGTCGATGGCCAGCTTACCCTTCGCTGCGGGCTGCGGGCCAAGAGGTGCCTTTAAGGCGTCCACTTCCATTGGAGTGGGTTCGGCCGAGGCGTAGGCGTTGGTCGGGAATCTTGAGCTTGCGCGGGGGGCGGGCTGGTAGCGGCGCTCTGCACGTTGTTCTTGACGGCGCTCGTACAGGCGGTTGTCGATCGATATTATGTGTTCGACAAGGTCGTCGAGGTTGAACGGCTCTCGGGACTTGGCGAGCTCGTCCTTGACCTCTGGGTGCAGACCACGGCGGAGGGCAAAGCGGAGGGCCGCGTCGTTCCAGTCCGTGTCGACTGCGAGGCGACGGAACTCGGCGATGTAGCTGGCGGCCGATCGGGTTCCTTGGGTGAGCGTGTCTAGGGCTCTCTCGGCTGACTTGGTTCGATCGGGGTCACCGAACGAGGCGTCGAGGCGGCGGACAAACTCCTCGAAGTTGTCCAGCACCATGGCGTCGTTGCGCTCCAGCACCGGAGCGAACCATGCTGCTGCAGTTTCGCGAAGGAAACTGGCAGCGAACATGACCTTGAGGCGCTCGGTGCTGTAGCGGCGAGGTTGGACCGAGTAAATCAAGCGCAGGTGGTTCAAGAACGAACGAGTCTCCGAACGGCGACCCGAGAACATGGGTGGGTCAGCCATCCGTGGCTCGTTGGGAGCCTGGGGAAGTTGGGCGAGGAAGTTGCCCAGCGCGGCGTGCTGCTGGGCATTGGGAACTTGGGCTTGCTGGAGGGCAGCGTATGCGTGCTGCAACTGACCGAACTGCTCGTGCAGTTGCTGATAGGCAGCGAACAGTTGGTTGGCATCGGGGGGAGGAGGAGCTTCAGCCTCCATCGGCGGGACGTCGGGATTGTACATGGTTAACAGAGAGACAGGGCACAGGGCACAGGGCAAGGCAAGGCAAGGCAAGGCAAGGCAAGGCAAGGCAAGGCAAGGCAAGGCAAGGCAAGGCAAGGCAAGGCAAGGCAAGGCAAGGCAAGGCAAGGCAAGGCAAGGCAAGGCAAGGCAAGGCAAGGCAAGGCAAAAGGAGGGGAGACGACAAACTGTAACAGGACTGGGGACTGGACGAGAGCGGACGGACTGGAGTGAGCGGGTAACGACTGGTTTACTAGGCGAAGGACGGTGTTGTCGTCTCGCCGGTTTATTTTCGGCGGGCGACGCCTTGCATTTACATCCCTGGGGGGTAGCGGACCGGCTTGCCTGCGCTCCTTGGCGCGGGCTAAGCCCCCTCGGGATGCCTTCCGGGTCGTCCCGGAGCTCCCTGTCCGCGTGCCCATTACATGCCCCACTCCATGATGATATTTTTCATTGATTATGGAGAGGAAATTGATATTCATTTCTTTTGATTTCATGAATGTATGGAGTGATATCGTCGAGTGCCAAAATGGCTCGGTGGAGACCGGTAGCCCCCCCTTTTTTTATGGAGAGGGTATCGGTGAAAACGGGTGAGAACAGTAACAAATTCAAGATTTCAGACCATTTTGAAAAAAAAAGTGAATTTGAAAAAATTGAAAAATTTGCATTTGCGTTTTTTTGGGACAAAGGTCCGGGGAACGACCGGTACTCCATCGTTCACCACCCTCTCACCCGTTTCCACCGAGAAAAATGGCCACACTGAGAACATGGAGAGGAAAAGCACATCTCTCACCAAACGGCCCACTCCATCAGGATGTCCTCACCCGTTTCCACCGACTTCCACCGGTCATTTCTACCACTCCACGATTCGTGAGTTGTACGCTCTTGTGCATTAGATTTCCGGATTCATGGAGTGGGTGTGTCGGGGTTGTGCATTAGAATTCTGCATGGAGTGAGTGGTATTTGTACCTTCCTTGGATCTCAAGGAGTGATATTATCGAGTGAGGGTGTGGTTGTGTCAGTGCTGTGCATTAGAAATGAGTTTTATGGAGTGAGGGTCTTGTCGTCGCTGCCAGCTACCCCAAAATACAGAAAATTCAAAAAATTTCAATTTTTTTCTTGGCCAGATGTTTTAGCCAGCTCATCCAGGACCCATGGAGCGAGGCGTGTTTAGAGCGAGCGCAGCCACTCCATGAACCATGGAGACGTTTCGGGTCGTGTGTATTAGAGCGGATCGGCGGTGCATGAGGCATGGAGTGGGCGTGCATCAGGACGACGGATTTCTGCATTAGCCATGGAGTGGGCTGTGTATTAGATATCCAATATCTCCCACACCACCATCGTGTAGCGGGGAGTACAGCCGTCCAGCACATTACATCACCCCGTCATCCTCCTCCGTCTTTGGCGCACCCAGCCAGCCCCTCAGTTCCTGCATCAACGTGTGCAGCTGGTTGAACCGAGCGGCCGACATGTTCTTGTTCAGGAGGATCTCCGAGGCGGCGTCGGTGTAGAGGCCAAAGATTCGCTTGTACACCCGGTTCGAGTCGATCGGGACTGAAGAAGTCGTCAAGGCAAACTTTGCCTCGACGATGTCGTCGTTGAGATCGCAGGACTGGTCGTCAACGAAATCGAGCAAGTCGTTGAATCGTGCGCTGGCCGTGTCGGTGCGCTCGAGCTTGATGCGCTTGGCCTTGCCGACGGAGCCCCTGGTGTCCGGGGTAGGCGGGGACTCGAACAGGATGGGCGATGGCTGGCGATTGTAGATGAACGAGGAAGACATGATCTGATCGATGCAAGCGGTGAACGAGGACCAGCCAGCACCAGCGGCACCGGGGGCCCTTATATACCTGGTCGGTGCTATCGGACACTGCAAAGTCCGTGGGCTCCCCATCTACGCGACGTGGACGGTGGCCTTGCCTTTCCCCTTCCCGTCGATCACCTGGTCGTGTGCCCCGTTGTCTTCAGGCGGAGCTTCAAAGGCAGGGGGCTTGAATGGTGCGATCTCGAATGCGGGGAGTGGCAGTGACTCGGCGTGCTTCCGCTCCTCATCCGGCATCTCATTGTACCGCTCGATCATGCCTTCCAGCTCGCGCTGGCGATACTCCAGCACAGACGCCAGACGCTTGATGTCGAACCACAGAGACACCGTCTCCTTCTCGGGAGGGACTGGGATCGGCCCCGTCGTGGACTTGAGCGCTTCGATGTGCTCGTTGAAGGCCTTGGTCGACTCCTTCACATGCTTCTTGTGCTCGTTGATCAGCTCGGTCAGCTGCGACTGCACATAGTTGACGTCGGGGACTTCGAGCGGATTGTCCACCCACGGGACCCAGCGGCCCACCGGCATCACAAAGACGTCGAAGGAAGGGTCCGTGTTGCGAATGGCGTGGGCCAGCGACTTTGCATCGTCCAGGGTATCGGTCACTCCCCGCAGCTTGAACGCTTGGATGCTGCACTTGTTTCGGGGGTTCAGCGGAGATACCATCGAGATGCACGCAAAGCGCTGGCCGGGGATCGGGGCATCGTCATGGGGAAGAACGGTGGACATGTTTTGGTTTGTGTGTTGTCGTCGGATGACATAGACCGGGGGAAATTAGTAGTCGTCGTAGAACGCGCCTTCAGTGTCGTCGTAGATCGTTTCGTCGACCGGACCTGCTCCGGCCATGATGGACGACGCATAGAGGTTGTATGGATTGAATTGATAAAAGAGACCAGGGGATGCCGCGGGTGTGCTGGTGGACAGGATCGATGTCGTTGGATAGAGCGATTCGCTGTCGAGCAGCGGCTTCAAATCGTGGCTTTCGATGAGCTCGTCGAGTGCGTTGTCGATGTGGTATTGGTCCACGCCAAAGAGCGATGGTGTGAAGTTGGTGTTGTTCAGCGGGGTGCTGCGAATATACGGCGACTTGTCAAAGATGCTGCGTAGAGGCTCGGCCGGTGTCGTCCGCTGCTTCATCAGCTTGACGTGCATGCCGATGATGTCCTTGAGGACCGTTTTCAGATCGCGGTTGCCGATCGAGGGCTGAGTACGGGCGGCCCAGGGCGAGTTGCCGCTGGAATAGGAGAGACGGTGTCGCAGGGGTGCAAAATCCGATTCAGTAAGGGTCGGGCCCGGCGAGCTGGTGTAGGTGTCATCGTCGTCGTCGTTCGTTGGCTTCTGTGTTAGGTTCAGGGGGGTTGCGGGCATGCTGGGTGGTGGGGTGTACGTCGTCTGTGCTGAACTTGTTCCTGAAGCGGTCAATGGTGGGGGAATAGATTCACCGACCCGAAAATTAGATGCATTGGTTTTGGTTTTGTTGTCGGTCAAAGCTGGACCACTGTAGCCTGGAAGTGTATCTGCGGTTGGGACTGGATTTACTGTGGGTGGGTTTGGATGGTGTTCCGCGGACGATGGTACACTCGTGCTAGGACGTCGACTTGGTGGTTTAGGGCGTGCATTTGCATCGGTAATGGCGGTTGCAACTCTTCTTGATAATTCGTCGTACTTGTTGTCGTAGTCGATGATCAAACCTTCGACTTGTGCAATCCTCATGTCAAGCCATGCTGTCCCGAGCTCGCTAGCAACCTCCAGCCTTTCGGGCGAAATGGTAGTCGATTGACTTTTTAATTTGTTATAATCAGCCCTGGCCTTACTCATGGCAACATTGTTACTGACCAGTCGAGCTTGAAATAGAGTGAGCCAGTCCAAGTCATCGTCCGCGGGCATATGCTCGTTGAACTCTTTCACGAGATTTTCATGCATATTATCGCTCAGCGTAAGTGGTTGCTCGTATTTTGTGAGATAGGTTTGATAATGTTTATCCTGATTCTTTAGTTTGTCTCGCAAACTCTGGGTAGTGGTGTTTAAATCCCTCAAATGCACCTTGAGCTCGTTTGAAAATCTTAGGATGTTTACTTCCCAATTTTTAATAAACTTGACTGCAGTGTCTGCTCCAGGGAGTGTCTTCAACGATTGTGGGTTGGATTGAAATAAGACTTGAATATCGACATCGAGGACTCCTTGGATAATTTTGATTTCTCTATCAATCTCATCAATGGCGTCGTTGATAGTCTGAGGGTTGTACTCGTTAGATTTCAATGCAGCCTCGAGCTTTTCCTTGAGCTTTGGTATATAGTTTTTAGCGGTATCGACTTTTGTTTCAACTCGCTCAAACGCAACAATAACGTCGTTAATGTGGTTATACGTGGGTGGGATAATCGAACCTTGATCAGTCTGCATTGTACCGCGGATGGGTGATGAATCAGTGTCCATTGATGTGTTTTGGTTTGCTGGGTGCGTGATCTGAGAACCTGTGGCAGGGTTGCCAAATGTGACACCTCCTGGGTTGGGAAACCCGAATAGGGGTTGATGAATTATCGGATCTGATCTCCGTCTTTCAATAGGAGGGCCGGTGCGGCCGAATGGCATCATACTGGGATGTCCAAATGATACGGGTGGTGGAGCTGCATTGGATGGTCCAGAATTCAACAGTACCACATTTCCATCCGCCCATGCATCGAGGTCCCTTAATGATGGATCTGCTGCATAAGCCAGGGCTCTTGTTTCTGGGGCATAGCCTTCCAGTGTACCTCTAGCCAAGAGTTTGAGGTCATCTGGTTGTGCGTCAGGAGATGAATTTCCTTTTGACATTTGTCTATATTGTCCTTGTCAGAGATAAAAAATATTGGAGTAAAAAGTGCTCATTGCTCGGAACCGAACCATATACATGGGTTGAATATTCCGGGAACATATAGATTTCCAGGAAAGTTTATATGAATATAGGAGAAACATTCAATGCACAGTTTTCATGCATTTCAAGCAGAGCCGAATGCCAGATTTGGTTGAGATAGAAGTAATTATTAATTTTCATGATGCTGGTAGGGAAGGTGTACAGATTATTAATACTTTGATGACTTGACCTACAAGTTCATCTCGCAAATCTCGTTCGATAGATACCTGACGGGGAGGAAAATTTTGAGCATTGGAACTTCCAAATGCAAAAGGCATTGTTTGCTTGGGAACATTCTCGCTCTTGCTCGTCGCTGGAGTGATGTTTACTTTTGTTTGATGAATGTCGGCTAACGATCTTGTGGCCCATTCGTCGAGTTCTTTCAACGAAGGATCGGCTGCATAAGCCAGAGCCCTTGTTTCGGGGGCGTAGCCTTCCAGTGTTCCTCTGGCCAAGAGTTTAAGATCATCGGGGTATTCATCCTTGATCATATTGTGTCGAGAATCCATTTGATATGGTTGTGTGAGGGAGCGATGGGGAGTGTGTGTGTGCAAGGGAGAACACCTGACCAGGTGCTTGGTAGAAGAGGTTGTTAAGGAAGACTGTTTATTGTTCTGACTGGAGTGTGATACATACTGGCGGACGCAGGCCTATTTATAGACCGGGGGGCACCTCCGGGGGACGAGGTGGGCGGAAGCGGTCTCCGGCGGGCGACGGGGGCGGTGTAGCACCGAGGACCGAGAAGGGGGGTGCGAGGACAGGCGAGGTGCAAGCGAGAGAGGCTTGCCACAGCCCAGCGGCATGTGTTACCCGGTGGCGCCGTTGGGAGCCACTCAGAGGGCGAGGCAAAAGCACGCGGTCAGCCACGAGCATAAACAAAAGACGTGGAAGGAAACTACTGGTGCGCAGGAGGACGGAGGGATCGGAACGGTTCCGGCTTGGCGCCGGGTGAACGGAAGGGCGGCTAAACTACGGGTAAACACCGGATAAACTCCGGGAACGGATGGGACGGGGTGTGGGAAACCGGGAGGAGCAGGGAGGAGCGAGAGGGAGCGAGAGGAAGCGAGAAGGGACCTCGGAGTGCAAGAAAGGTCCTCGAGGGACCGGGGAGCGACCAAAATGGATGGGGATGGTGCGGAAAGTGAAGTTTGTGGTGCGGAGAAGGTCGCTGTGATGCCGGAGCATCACATTATCCCCCCCTCAAAGTCGGGCCACCCCGCCGGGACCTAAGTCCTGGTTTGTCCGGGTATCGTCGATGGAACTCAGCAATCCGTTCTGGGGCGTGAAGATTGCTAGCGAGTTCCCAGCTGCGATCCGTGACTGGGTAGCCAACCCAGTCGATCAGGTAGAACAGCTTGCCCCGGACGAACTTTGAGTCTAAGATCTCCTCGACTTCGTACTCGAGGTGATCGTCGACTTGGACAGGGGGTGGAGGATCCTGGACGCGGCCGGGGAAGGTATTGGCCTTATACGGTTCCAGGAGGGAAACATGGAAGACCGGATGGATCTTCAAGTCCTTGGGGAGGTCCACACGGAAGGCAAGGGGACCGACAGGCTCGACAATCTTGAAGGGGCCAAGACGCTGGAAGTCGAGCTTCTTGCTGGGACGGGTGGTTCTGATATTGCGAGTCAAAACCCAAACAAGGTCGCCAGGATTGAAGTCAGGAGCGGGAGACCTGCGGGAGTCGGCGAAGCGCTTGTAGTCGGACTTTGCCTTTTCCAGGTTCTCACGGAGCAGCGCTAAGTTCTGCTGCAGGTGCTCGGCGACTTCAGAGGCAGAGGGAACATCGAGACCGGTCGAAGGGACTGGGACTTCGAATCGGGGATGGAAGCCGTAGGTGGCGAGGAAGGGCGAGGCGTGGATCGACGAGTGCTCCGAGTTGTTGTAGGAGAACTCGGCCAGCGGGAGCAATCGTGACCAGTCGTCCTGCTGGTACGAAGTGTGGCAGCGGAGGAACTGGTTGATCACCTGGTTCACCCGCTCAGTCTGTCCATCGGTTTGAGGATGGAAGGCCGTGGACAGACTGGTCTGGATGCCAAGCTTGGAGCACAAGGCCTGCCAGAACTTGGAAGTGAACTGGGTTCCCCGATCCGAGACGATGTTCTCGGGGAGCCCGTGGAGTCGGAAGATGTAGTTGAGGAACAAGGAAGCGGTTTCCTCGGCGGACGGCAGGGAACGGCAGGGCAGGAAGTGCGCCAGCTTGGTGAGGCTGCACACGACAACGAAGATGCAAGTGTTGCCGTCGGACTTGGGCAAGTCCGTGATGAAGTCCATGGTGACGAGACTCCAAGGACGCTGAGCCGTCTGCAAGGGAAGGAGGAGACCGAAGGGCTTGTGACGGGGCACCTTGGCTCTGGCACAAGTGTCGCAAGTTGAGACATAGTCTCGGATGTCTTTGCGGACAGTTGGCCACCAGAACAGACGGGAGACGAGTGCCGTGGTTCGGCGGATGCCGGGATGACCAACGGCAACTCGGTCGTGGCAGGACTTGAGTACAGAGACTCGGCACGACTCGGGGACGACGATGCGGCTGCCAAGGACCAGGAGTTGGTCTCGAACAGAGAACTTGGCATCGCTTCGGAACTTGTCCATGGCGGGGTCGCGCGCCTGCTCCTCAGTGATCATCTTCATGAGATCTTCGTGAGGAGTGGGATCGGGGACGGGTGATCCACGGCGACGGACAGCGCGGACGATGGACTCGGGCGAGACGAGGAGGGGAGGCTCGCTGGATACCGGGGCGGACGGAGGAACAAAGTCAGGACGGCGGGACAAGGCGTCGGCTTTGCCGTTCTTGGATCCGGGACGGTATTGGATACGAATGTCGAAGTGGGACAAGAACTGGGACCATCGGGCGTGGCGCTGGTTGAGGATTCGCGCAGTAGCTAGGTACTCCAGGTTCTTATGGTCGGTGATGACTTCGACCGGATGGCGGGCGCCTTCAAGGTAGTGACGCCAAACTTCAAAAGCCTCCTTGATGGCCAGGAGCTCCTTCTCGTAAATGCTGTAGTTCCGCTCGGCACTGGACATGGTGCGCGAGTGGTACGAGCAAGGACGGAGTCGGCCCTCATCATCCTTCTGAGACAAGACACATCCAAGTGCAAAATCCGAGGCATCGGATTCCACAACGAAGGGCTTGGATGGGTCAGGATGGGTGAGGGTGGGCTCCGACACGAACGAGTCCTTCAAGGCGCGGAAGGCAGCTTCGGCGTCCAAAGTCCACTGGAAGGCCTTGCCCTTTCGGAAAAGGCGAGTGAGAGGCCCGGCGACTTTGGCAAAGGCATGGATGAACCGACGGTAGAAGTTGGCGAAGCCAACGAAGGAACGGAGCTCGGAAACGTTCTTGGGGACGGGCCAGTCCAGGATTGCCGAGAGCTTGGACTTTTCCATCTCGATTCCCTCGGGCGAAACGACATACCCGAGGAACGAGACCTTGGACTGGGAGAACTCGCACTTCTCTAACTTGCAGTAGAGATTGGCATCCCGGAGCTTGGAGAGCACTTGCTTAACATGGCGCTCGTGCTCGGCAGGGTTGGAACTGTATATCAAGATGTCGTCGAGATACGCGATGGCGAACTTGTCGAGCTCATCGCGTAAGACATCATTGATAAAGTGCTGGAAGGTGGCGGGAGCATTGGTGAGCCCGAACGGCATCACCAAGTACTCAAAGTGTCCGTATCGAGTACGGAAGGCCGTCTTCCATTCATCGCCGGCGCGCATCCGAATCAAGTTGTAGGCACCACGGAGGTCCAACTTGGTGAATACCTTGGCGTCTCGGAGCCGGTCAAGCATCTCATTGATCAACGGCAGAGGGTAGCGGTTCCTCACCGTGATCTTGTTGAGTGCGCGGTAGTCCACGCAGAGACGCAGAGAGCCGTCCTTCTTCTTGACGAAGAGGATGGGCGAACCGGCAGGCGAGGACGACGGACGGATGAAACCTTTCGCAAGGTGTTCATCGAGGTGTTCGCGGAGTGCCTTGAGTTCGGGCTCTGAGAGGGAGTAGAGCGGACCGAACTTTGGAGACTTCCCGGGCTCCAAGTCGATAGGGCAGTCGTAAGGCCGGTGCGGAGGAAGTGCATCGGCCTCCTGCTTGGAGAAGACAGGGAGGAAGTCCGCATAGGCGGCGGGCAACTCGACTGACGCAGAAGAAGGGTCGTCGGCGATCAAGGCATGGACTTGGAACAAAAGGGTGGGTTCCAAGTCCGGCTGGGCCAAAGACTTTTGGATCGAGCGGGCCGTGATGCTCTGGATCCGGATAGCCGCAGCTGGGGTCGGTGCAGGAGTGGGAACAGCATCAGAATAAAGTGGAACGGTTACTTTATTCTGAATACTGCCGGGGTGTACATCCAAAGAAGAAGGAAGAGAAGAAGGAGGTACAACAGAGGGGACACTCGCAGGAGGCGAGGAAGGAGCAAGGGGCACCGAGGGCAACGACGAAGAAGACTGCGAAGAAGGTGCGGGGTCAACGGGAGCGGGAGAACAAGAGAGATGAAGAATCCCGCGAGACCAAATGATCTTGGGCTCGGTATCCCGGAGCCAGGGATAGCCGAGGATGACGGGCTGGTGCGGCGACTTGATGACGTCGAACTTGAGTCGCTGAGAGCTGTCCCCAAGGAGGAGCTGGAGGGAGACAGTCTCGTGTGTGATGGGGCCAGAGGACAAGGGCCGGCCATCAACGGCCTCGACAGCCAAGGGAGTGGACTTGGCGACAGTCGGAACGGAGAAACGGAAAACAAAGTCCTGGTCGACAAAGTTGCCGGCGGCACCAGAGTCGACAAGAGCCTTGCACGGAACCACGGAGCCAACGGGCAAGACAAGCGAAGCGGGAACGACAAGTGAACATAATCCGGAAGACGAGGCAGCGCACACCGACACAGGGTCACCAAGCGGATCACCAGACTGCTCCGAAAACACGTCTGCTTTCACTGAGGGGAACCAGCAAGACGGCCTGGCGCCCATCGCCTGTGGGTGAGACACGGATTCACCAATGGCAAAGCCATCAATTACTAACGTCGAGCTCACGTCTGCTGACAACCCCCCAGCTACGACAGTCGATGCATCCGTCGACAAGTCCGAAACACCACCCGACAACCCTGCACCAGTGCACAACGACTCGGGAGACATGGTTTGGGGCACCGATTCTGAGTCTCCATTCAGAATCGGGCCAAGTCGTTTCCCGATTCCACCTGTCTTACCTCGCCGTCATCATAGATGACGGCCCTGATGGTCCGGGACGGAGCGGCGGTCTTGGCAGGACAGTTGCGTGCCATGTGGCCCTTGTTGCCACAGTAGAGGCACAGTCCGAGGCGGCGGCGGCGTTGCTTTTCGTCCGGAGTCAGGGGACCCATAAGGGCAGAGTCCACCTGCATGGGGTCGTGGCCGGGAGTTGGGGACGGACGAGGAGCAAAGGAGGAATGGCCTCGGGAAGCAGGATCGGGATGTCGGAAAGGCGCGGGGGCAAAGGAGTGTGTGGGGCCAAGGAAAGGTTGTGCGGGTCGGGCTCGAAAGGAGGTGCGGCGTTCTTGGCGACGTTCGCGAAGGCGGGCATCCAGTTCGACGCAGAGTTGGACGTAATCGTCGAGGTCGCGGGGATGGTCACGGACACGGGCAAGCTCGTCCTTGAGATCTTCCGTCAAGGCCTGACGGAAGAAAGAGATCTTCGCGGAGTCGTTCCAGGTGGTGTCGGCGGCGACACGGAGGAAGTCGGAAGCGAAGATGTCGCAGGGACGGCTTCCCTGGAACATGGACTGGATGGCGGCTTCGGCGGAGCGGGCGCGGTCGGGGTCGTCGAAGGCGGAGGCGAAGCGCCCCATGAACTCGTCGTAAGAGTTCAAACGGGCATCGTTGCCCTCTAGCATGGGCGTCGCCCACTGAAGGGCGGGTCCGGAGAGCAGGCTGAGGATGAATCCGACTCGGACTGGATCGGTGGGGAAGCGTTGAGGGTGCATCCTCATGTAGAGGTTGCACTGACTGACAAAGGCACGGAAGCCCCGACGGTTGCCATCGAAGCGGTCGGGGACTTGAGAGGGAGGGCCGGCGGCGGCAGCGGGGGCGTCACGGGCGTCACGGGCGGTACGAAGGGCGGTGACTTCGTCTTGGAGAGCTTGGATGCGCTGGGCTATGGCTGGGTCCATGGTGGCGTAAGTCACGTGACAAGTGGGAATCGATCGGAAAACAAAAAAACTGGAAAGTGTGTTCAGGGGTGACTGGGCAAGGGGTGACTATGCAGGGGTACAGGGTGACTGTGCAGGGGTACAGGGGTGACTGTGCAGGGGTACCCTCTAATCGAGGATAAAAGGTCAAAGAAATCCAGGAGTGACTGTGCAGGGGAAGGGGTACCACCAAGGGTGACAGCGCAATGACAGGAGAGGATCAGGACAGTGCAAGACAGGACAGTTGTACCACCGAGAGGTCAACCACAGGACAAGGACAGGAGACTTGACAGGACCGGAAAGGACAGGACAGGGACTTGACAGTTCACGTGACCGTAGGGCCAGGGCAGGAGCCAGACAGGGACTTGACAGGTAGCACAAGGAGAAGGGTTCGACCAAGCAGGTGGTCTCCGACAGTATTAGAGTCAGAACAATATGTGAGGGAGCGATGGGGAGTGTGTGTGTGCAAGGGAGAACACCTGACCAGGTGCTTGGTAGAAGAGGTTGTTAAGGAAGACTGTTTATTGTTCTGACTGGAGTGTGATACATACTGGCGGACGCAGGCCTATTTATAGACCGGGGGGCACCTCCGGGGGACGAGGTGGGCGGAAGCGGTCTCCGGCGGGCGACGGGGGCGGTGTAGCACCGAGGACCGAGAAGGGGGGTGCGAGGACAGGCGAGGTGCAAGCGAGAGAGGCTTGCCACAGCCCAGCGGCATGTGTTACCCGGTGGCGCCGTTGGGAGCCACTCAGAGGGCGAGGCAAAAGCACGCGGTCAGCCACGAGCATAAACAAAAGACGTGGAAGGAAACTACTGGTGCGCAGGAGGACGGAGGGATCGGAACGGTTCCGGCTTGGCGCCGGGTGAACGGAAGGGCGGCTAAACTACGGGTAAACACCGGATAAACTCCGGGAACGGATGGGACGGGGTGTGGGAAACCGGGAGGAGCAGGGAGGAGCGAGAGGGAGCGAGAGGAAGCGAGAAGGGACCTCGGAGTGCAAGAAAGGTCCTCGAGGGACCGGGGAGCGACCAAAATGGATGGGGATGGTGCGGAAAGTGAAGTTTGTGGTGCGGAGAAGGTCGCTGTGATGCCGGAGCATCACAGGTTGATATGTTGAGAAAAAAAGGATTGCTAATCGTGAGAGCCAAAACGATTCGAGTGAATTGCTTTCCGTAATTTTTTGTCTTGGGGGGTAAGGTCGATTTATATGTTCGACGAGTTCGATAGGACGTACATCTATTATTAGGTCGGATTGCCTCGCATCCGATCGTCGTGCGCGTGGTGTAGACGTCACGTAAAAAATCTCAAGCCTCATCAAGGCCATCGTAAATAATGACCGAGCCCGTCCTTGTCGTCTCCGAGCACGCACCCCAAACATCCCCAGCCCACGCTTCAGAAATCGCCCCTGCCGCACCAGCTGACGCAAACACCGAGCCCGAGTTTACTCCAATCATCCCACTGAACAAGGTGTTGATTACGAATACGGATGAGCTCGGGATCTTCGACCAATCCCGTCTCCTTGCCTATTTCAAGCGCCTCAACTCCTTCTCCCATCTCTACACAAAGGACGAGGTCACGGTGGAGCTCCTTGAGTCCATCGAGCGCGAGCTGCTCTCCCATGATGAAGTATCCACCTACTGTCGCCTATACCACGACGAACCCGACTCCCCCGTCACCCTTGAGCAGTTCGCCGCCACCCTCGAGCAGTACAACCCCGAGAACTTTGTTGGGCAGATCATGCCCCGAGTGGAAAACACACGCTTCTACACGGTCGTCAAAACCTTCATTGAGTGGTCTCACAAGATTGGCAAAACAAAGAGTGTCCCCGACTTCATCGCCTCCGCCCACTGGAAGGGGGCCCTCGACACAAGCGACTTTGTCGTGAGTCAGATCATCCAGATCCTTCACCAGTCCCCCTTCGGAACCGACACACCAGTAAAACGCTCGCAACTCCCGACACACGTGTACGAGTTCCTTAACCGGGTCTGGAAGTTTATCGCTCATCAACAAGCAACCACGGAGGCGCAGGTCGCTGACGCCACCATGGCTTGTTAGAATCTGAAGGTCTTTCCTTTTCGCTCTTGTCGACCGCGTTCCATCTGTCGCCCTTCCCCGCACCACCAAGAATGCCTCCGTCGTCAATGATCAAGCCCGGATCATCCACTCCCCCACGATGAACTCAAGTTCAATATCGCCCTCGCCCAGGACTCCCAATCCTAATTCTACGACCCCGGCCACTCCCCTTCCCCTCCGTTCAAGGTCGGAGACTGAGTCTGGCACCCCGCCAAGAACATCAAGACCCAGCGACCCACGGCCAAGCTCGACCACACCAAGCTTGGGTCGTTCAAATTGTCGCTCAAGTCGGTTCCCGCGCTTTCAAGTTGGACTTGCCCTCGTCCTTGCGCATCCATCCTGTGTTCCACGTCTCCCTTCTCGAGCCCGCCGCGGACGACAAGATCCCAGGTCGAACGATCCCGCCCCCTCACTCATCCAAGTCGACGGCCACGACGAATGGGAAGTCGAACAGATCCTGGACTCCAGGTTGTTCCGAGGCAAGCTCCAGTATCTTGTGCACTGACGTGGCCTTGCATTGGGACACTTTTGGAAGCCCCTGTACATGCAATGGTGAACGCAACCACATCACAGGGCGCCATTTTGAATGACGCCCAAATGGTAGCGATATTTGGAGTGATTTTTTTTCATCGGCGATAGAAAAGTGGCCCACAGACACAGCTATGGACAGCTACTCGAACGAAACTGAACAGGTTAGTCCTGAACCCATCAACTTCATGGCTCTGGGAGAAGCGGACAGATACGTGGGATCACCCGCTCCCCCAGCCAAGGCTCCATATGACTTCCGAATCACACAGCCCGGCGAGAACTCACGATACTCGACCCGCACATCCAAACGCAGACGCGAGAACCTCAGTGACCTCATTACCAAGCGTCGCTACAACAAACGGTCAGTGGCAACTGGGGTTACTGAGACCCAACCCGATGCTGACGACGCCAAAATTGATTGCGTGGAGGTCGTGGTCGGTATTATTCCCGACGAGCAAGATGCACCTGATAATATAGATGAAGAACATGAATCAGTTGGTGGAGATGGTCTGCCCGAAGTCAATCAGAGTGGTGCTGGATACGACCAAGCTACACATTCTTTCACGGGTGCTGATGCTGAGCTGGTTAGGATCGCCAACGAACAGAGGGGGACGATTGCTGCTCTTACACAAGACGTTGAGCTGTTGAAGAGTCGACTAATCGAAGACATGTTACCATCGGTTGGATTTTTTTTGTCGACGAGGCAATATTCGTCATCTGACTCGGATGTTTTCATCCTATCGGTCATTTTACCAGACAACTATCCTGAAATACGCGATCAAAATATCATTACATTGCTTGGACAAATCAATTTATTCAAATCATACGTACAAACTCGCCTCGACAACGAATGTATCGACAATGAAAAAGATAAAATAAACAAGTATCGAGCCAGGATAATCATGAAAATTCTTTTGAAGACATATAGTGACGCAGTTCAAGCGACAGGTTTATATAACACATATACGGGCACAAATAACCCATTTACAAGTCAATTATATAGAAGTGTACAACGGTCTCAGCCATTCTTCTCAAATTTCACACATGCTCAGCTAGCAACCATCCATTATTTCGCGTTTAATGGATTCGTCTCAGAAAAGAATGTGTATCAAAATATAATGAACCAGCTCGCCGCAAACCACGGATCAACTGTGGATTGGGGAGCGCCGGCCCAACCCTTGCCCTAGTCAGGATCCCTTCTTCTGATCCAAAACGCGCTCCCTCTTTCGACACCCCATCCACCCCTCCCCCCAGCAACAACTGATAAGTCAAGTGTGCAGTCAAAGTGGAGAACACGCAGGAGCTATCCCTAACATCATCTCCTATTGAGGAGCGGTGTACCGCACCATGACCTGGATGTAGTGCACATCGGTCCCGGCCGCCTGGAACTGCAGCAAGCACGAGTCGCTGCTGGCCACTCCACAGACCAGCAGGTTCTGCAGGATGACATACGTGTCCGTCCATCCACTCGCGCATGCGATCACATCGTATGCGTTGGTGAGGGGGCTCGTCATGCCCGGCAGCGAGAACATGAACGTGCACTGGATATTGGCCGCACTCGGGGTCACCTGGAACACGACGCTCAGCAGCACCTCGTTGAGGGTGTTGATCACCTTCGAATTCGACACCACCACCGATGTCGCATTGAATATACTCGCCACGCCGACCGTAGGCTCTATGATCACCGTCCCATTCCATGCCAACCCGCCGTTCAGAGCCAGATTGCCGTTGATCGTGACATCCCCGTCGATCGTAGCGCTCTTCGCATACGACACATCCTGGTTAAACGTCGCTGGAGCCTGGATCGTCACAGCCGAGTTTGTAGCCTCGATGACACCGCTCTGGAGCATGAGGGTGCCGCCGGACGTCGCTGTGTTGATGGCATCCGTGGCCACCGCCGGAGCCGTGATGGAAGACGACAGCGTCACCGTCGGCCCCGTCAGCGTGCTCTGAAACGAGATGCTGCTGCCCATGAGCGAGCTGGTGTAGATGGTCGGTGCATTCAACGTGTTGGATGTGAGCGTCGTGATGCTTCCGACAGGGCACTGCAGCGATGTCGACAGCACCAGGGTATCTGCCGTCGCCGCAGACACAGAGAGCGACTGGGACTCGACGAGTGTCGACTGGAGATGCGGAATCACAGCGTGATCGGTGTAGATCTGTGCATATCCATTGAGTCCGAGATAGCTGCCAGACGGCGCAACGACCGACCCCACCTGCAACGGCACCCCAAGAACCGCCAGCGACGACCCCACTGTGAGCAGGTTCTGGGTGACCAGCGCTCCACCCACAGTGCATAGGACGCTGCCGTCTGTATCTGTAAAGTTGGTCCTGCCCGTTCCTCCATTGCCGATCGACAGCGGCCCTCCAGCCCAGTTCGAGTCCCCAACGGTGTTTTGCAGCGCAATGGTGCCGAGCGATAAGTTGGCTCGCACCTGGCTTGGGGTCTGCCGGGCATAGACACCATTCGCCGTAGCCACGATCATGTCCTGGGCATTCGGGGTGCCTGTCGCTGTGAGCAAGTCGAGCACACTCGAGTAGGCCTGCACATCGGTCTCGATCGCCAGCCCGAGTTCAGCCCGCAGCTGAGCACCCGCAATCGGCCGAGGCACACCATTGGAATCGGCAATGACCACAGACCCGGCCGTATACCCTGGAGTCGACACAAACGCACCGCCGCCGCTGGACACATAGACCATACCGTTGCTCGTGAATGCCGCCGCCCTCGACCCGGTTCCTCCCTGGCTGATGGAGAGCGGGTTCATGAGCTCGATGTGGTCCGAGAACACCGACAGCGACGAGTTGACCACGAGCGCCGTTGCGCCTGTATTGGGTACGATGGGCAGCCCGGAGAGAAAGAGGGTCTGGATGCTTGAATCGTATGTGAGATTCGGCGAGTTTTCGAGTGGGCCTGTGCTCGAGGACGACGACCCATAGACCAGGCTTCATCGGATTGACCTGGGTGATACCCGTCCCTCCCCAAGCGACCCCAACGGTGCTTGCATTCCACACACCGGTCGTGAGGGTCCCGACGCTCACCGCTGTCGTCGACGAGAGCACACCGCCACTGAAGGTAATGCCCGACCCAGCAATGGACGGGTCGATCTGGAGAGTGCCTCCAGTGAGCGAGAGGCCAGAGTCGGCACCGAGATTGACATTGAAGGTGATGCCGTCCTTCTCCAGGCCCATACCCGCAAGGAAGATGGTGCCCGAGAACTTGCTGAATTCGACCGGGTCGGTGCCGACGATACATGGGTCGGTGCTCGAGTAGGCAATGAAGCCGACTTCGGCATAGGTGCCCTGGTCGACAAAGACGAATATGCCGATGGCAGATGTGCCCGGTGGGCAATCCAGCGTTCTCGCCAGGAATCCGCCTGTCCCGAGGGCAAAGATGCCGTTTTGCACAGGAAGCGTCTGGCCCATCAGCAACACCCGGTCGCCGGACTGCAGCGTCACTCCATCGATGACCGAGACGGGGCTGGTGAGGTCAACGTTCGAGTCGGCAGCGACAGAGACCGATTGCTTGACATTCAGGCCCCTCGCCACGGCATCGACATAACCCTTGGTCGCCGAGTCCGACGACAGGATGGGGTCGGGGACGTTGGTCAGCCGGGTGACCGACTTGAGATCCATCACACCACTCACGACACTGAAATCAGCTGGTCGCCAGCCCGCCCGAGAGCTTCGAGGACGTTGCTGGTGTTGGTCAAGGCGATGGTGTTTGTGGGGCTGGTCGTGTCCTGGATGTGCAAGGGGGATGCCACCACCGAGAGCGTCAGGGGCGATGGACAACTCAAAGTCAATGGCTGGTCAAAGGCCAGCTGGTTTGCACTGAACTGGATGGTACCCCCCGACGGGGCAATAAAGGACGGGCAGGTGAGCGAAGTGGCAATCGATACAGGGGCACCCGTCAGAGCCAGTGATGCATTAGCAGGGGTGGTGATGGATGTGACGTTCTGGATGGCGGACGAGTTGATCTCGATGCCGCTCTCGATCACCAGCGGCACATTGCACTGGACCGTAGAGCCTCCGGTGCCAGTGGAGAGCTGAGCCCCGCCGGAAAAGACAATGGAGCTGGGCAGAGAGAGATTGGGGCAGATGGCACGGGCATTGGCAATGTCAAAGAGAATGGACAGATCGTTGCCGGGGGTAGTGGTGTCGATCCATGCAATCCCCGGATTCGGCGTGCTGGTGATGAGCCGGAGACTCTTGGTCTGGATGGAGGTAGACGGGTCAAAGGAGACAAAGGTAAAGACGTTGCTCGGGATGGAGAGGGTGTCTGCGGTGATGGTCAGCTCGGAGCCGACGATAACCGAGGTATCGACACTGAATGCACCGACCCGAGCCAAGTTCCCGAGACTCAACACATCGCTGCTGGCCGAGAGCACGACACCGCTGGTTCCAAAGATGAGCTGGCCGCCGACGATCTGCAGGTCTCTGTTGAGCAGCTGCAACCCGACTCCATCCGGTGCAGTGGGTCCCGCTGGATTCCACGAGTTGATGGCCATGAGCTGCCGACCAGCGTCAAACCATGGGCCATTGGCATTGATCTTGGAGCCATCGGATGCGAGTAGGAAGTTTGCAGCGAGCGAAGACGACCCTGTGCCTCCATAAGCGAGTCCGACGGCCTGGCCCTGCCATTTTCCCGCGGTGATGGTGCCGACGGCATCGAGATGGGTGATGGAGGAGACAGAGAGGGTGCCGCCGGAAAGCGTCAGGCCCTCGCCGGCAAAGGTGTCTGCAACCCGCAGACCGCTTGGAGCAGCAATCAGCGACGAATCCTGGACCTGCACCGAGAGCTGCTTGCCGGAATGCGACGAGACCATTGCCGGCCACAGCCAAGCTGTCCCCCGACGAGCACTGGTGAACGCCCGACGAATCCACCAGCCATGATGTATTCCCATACTGCGTGCCGGACTGGATGTAGACCAGAGTCTGGTTGGGCAGCGCAGCCGGGTTGTCGACATACATGTTGGTGGAGAGCGTCTGGACGGTCAGGATCTGGCTGGTGGCTGCACAAAAGATGGTCTGGCCGAGGAGGACGACGACCGAGTCGATGCTAAACTGGACGTAATAGTACTGGTTGGTGTTGGTGTCGAGAGTGGGTGCGGTGGCAATGTAGTAGTCTGCCGTCTGTCTCGATGCGATCCCGTTGCTGACCCAGTTCTGCAGATACGAGAGCGGCACGGCATCGGTCGGATCGGTTGGGGTCGGCAGGCCCGTCAGCGTCCCTCCGCCCCCGATGGCCAGTTTCGATCCACTCTGGGTGAGGGTCTGGCCCTGGATGTAGAGAGTGGTGCATCCGAGGGTCTGGGACTGGACCGAGTTGGCCGAGACGGCATCGGCAAAGTAGCTCTCGATCTGGACCTTGGGGATATCAAGGGTGCCGTCGTCTCGAGCGGTCCAGATGGTCTGTCCGTTGCGCACGAATGCGGTGGAATTGGTACTGTCCACCAAAGACGAGTGGGTCATGGCGAGAGTGTCGGTTTGCACCTGCTGGGCCTGGATGGTGCCGCTCACAGTCTCGCTACCGGTGACGGTCAGGGTGGCCACTTTGACTTCCTCGGTCTCGAAATACCCGCTGGCAATGGCCCCTATCTGCACGAGCACCCAAGTAGATGTGTCGATTGGAGGTGTCAGTGCAGTGACACCGGTCAACCCCCGTCCCGTCAGCACAGTGTTAGCAGTGCCGATGGAGAGGAACCAGGTCTTTGTACCGCCCGCATTCTGAACGAGATAGTACAGCTGGGCGGATGGGGGGCTGGTCTTGGTGTAGAGACGATAGCCCTCGGTTGGGCTATAAGACCACTGGCCCTCGACGGTGATGGAAGTCCAGTTGAGATCGTTGATTTGGTAAAAGCCCGTCGACAGCATCGTTTCAAAGACGGGTGCCTGGAGGGTGCTCACCGCAATCGATGGAGCCGTGAACGACTCGAGCTGTGGTGCATTCAGCGTGCCGTTGACGGTGACGACGGTGCTGCCAGAGGACGGGTCTGGTGAGATCTCTGCGACGGAGATGGCTCTGGCGGTGGCATCGTATGCGGGTCCCTGGGCCCAGGAACCACTGGTTCTGCACTGGATGCCATCGAGGAGGGTGGTGGAGCCAGTCCCGCCATACGCGACGGCCACCGGGGTCGACTCCCAGACACCCTGGGAGATGGTGCCGAGCTGCGAGACATGCGACTGGTTCGAGTCGGTTGCAACCAGGCCGCCCGATATGTTGAGGATGCCGCGGCCTGGCTGGATGCGATGGGTGCCCGAGAAGAGGACCCACTCGGTGACGCTGCCGGTGACAATGCAGACGTAGGTTTGGTCGTCGTTGATGGAGTAGACCAAGTTGCCGTTGCCTGTCGACACGAGCGACCCGGTGTCCCAGACACCCATCTGCGAGCCGGAGAGAACGAGCACGCGGCCGGTCGAAGGAATCGACACCCCGGACGGACCAGCGATAGTGAATTGGACCGAAGCGATGGGGGCAAGCCCGACAGACATTTGGTCGACATATGCCTTGGAGACAGCATCACTCGACGAAGACCACGATATGTTCGTCACTCGGTTGCCGCCCATATCGAGCGTCGCCGTGGGGTTCCATTGGCCCGAGAGCGAGCTGCATTGAAGCGAGGGAGCATCGATGCGGACGCTGGTTGGGTGGTAGACTGACGATCTCGTTGGTGTCGCCCTGAATATACCCGAGACCTGAGGTAAAGTCGATCTGGCTGAACGTAGACGAGGAGCCGGAACCTCCGCCTCCACCACCGCCAGAGCCACCGCCGCCACCACCAGACGACGGCCAAGTGGGTTGATTCCGGAAGGTGACATTGCCGAGGAACTCGATCGAGTCGGTGAATGTGACCGGGCCGGTGAGTTCGGGGCAGGTGATGGAGCCGGTGCATACGAGGCTGCCGTCGTTGTAGATCTGGATGCCGACCCCATTGGCATTTTGGACTTGGATGGATGCCGAGTCGCTGGTAAACTTGACACCCCCATAGAGATCGAGCTGGCGCACACTGAGGGTGTCGAGATGGACAGCGTTGCCTGCATTGAGATAGAGATCCTGGCCGGACCCGGTGATCTGAGTGCCGGCAGAGACATTGATTCCCGCATATGCCTTGAGGGGGCTGCCACGGATGCTGATCTGGCCGCCGTCGTCGAGCAAGCTGAGGGTCATGCCGCTGTCCAGAAAGACCTGGCTGCACTGCACAACGCCGGCCTGCACGGTTCCAGACTGGCTTTGCAAGAAGAGGGTCCCGCTGTTGTTGTAGATGCCGGTCAGGCCGGTCGAGTCAAAATCGATCCCCTGGAGGGTGTGCAAGGGCTGAGAGAAGGTCGTCTCGAAGCCAATGGTGTTGGAAGCGCTCATGACGCCATTGAAGATCTGCATGGTGCCGTTCAAGGCCGAGTTGGGATCCATGATGGCCACGAGATTCTCGCTGCCCTTGATGCCGATATAGAAGAGCTGGGTCGAGTCGTCGTAGGTGAGCACGGCGGGAGCAAGCGATCCTCGGTTGACCATGAGGCCGCCGCGAGTCGATGGGTTGGAGGCATCGTTGACTTCGACATACGCGTCGGTGATGGTGGTGATGGTGCTCTCGACGGTGTTGATGTTGCCGAGGACCTCGAAATTGCCATTGACTCTGAGATCGCCGGCGAGCTGGAGGCTGCTGAAGGACACATTGGACTGCGGGGTGAGGGGCTGGAGCAGATTCTGGTCGATTCGTCGGACATACTGGGCAAGAGAGCGAACGTCCTGCATGACCACCGCTGTCTTTTGGATGGCGGTGGGCAAAAAAAGGACATTGCAGCTGGCGCAGGAATCATGCAAATATTTTGTATGATTGAGAGTATCATCGAAACCAAAGTTTGGATAATGAGCGACTTGGATGACCAAATGGGTATGAGCTCAGGAAGTAGCGATGATTCGATGTCGGAAGTATCCCCCTTTTATGATGCTGATGCTGCTATGGATGATGTTTTCGATCGATTTTTGGATGAAGAGCCACCCGCAAAAATCGAGATATCGCCCAGTATTGTGAAACACACTCCAGATGTATCACGAATTGCGGATCCTACTGAAGTCGATTCAGACACTCCGCGTAGGTGGGTCCGAGATATAATTGGTATTGTCACGTCTGTTGATAGCTACTCGCATAATATCAAAGGAAAAGGCGAAGCACTGATAAAGAGTATCACATCCGAAACATTTGACCACATCACCAAAATGACAAAAGACATAGAACATGATAAAACGATGCTTAATAATATTGAGAGCGGTGATGTTGAAGATTTATACGGTGGTACAATTCAGAATCTGAGAGGAGCCCTCGATAGTTATCTTGAATACCTGACACGGGAGTATAGTGCAATGCAGGACATCGTTGCAACGACCAAAAAATTGATCGACAAGTATGATGACCAGTCGTACCTCGGTACATTGAACGCGCTTAAGATAGAAGTCGAAGTTGGGATTGGACTAATCTACGAAAGAACAGCTTTAAAGACCACGCCACTCTTGAGTGAAGCCGAAGCAAAGTCGTATGCCCAGGCGAGGATGAATTTTTTTTCATTCCTTGAACGTCTCAAGGATGACTACAGAAATGACATCAGGTTCATTAATAAATATGGAAGGGTCAGGATGGAAATGGTGGAACGACACCTCGGTGAGATGACCCTGGCCATCAAGAGGGCGTGGAATCAATATACTCTTCATGTGACTCTTATCGATGCTGAACATATGGAATGGAAAGAGCTTCGCGATACATTGAAAGATACACTCGCCGAAAAAGCACACTGTGAGGATAAATATGAGGTACTCCTAGTTGGAAGATCGCAAACGGAAAGAACGTGCAGCCAAAAAGAAGAAACGTGCTACTGAGGCAGACGATGACAAGAAGACTGAAGATGAAGATGAAAAACTAATTCCAGACATTGAAATTGCATTAGACGCACTCGGTATTCCTTCGAATGAATGGCCTGACTATAATAACACAAGCAATGAAGAATATAAAAGCTTCATCCAGCAAAGGGTTCTTAAATTTGTCGAAGATGAATGCAATAAAGTCGAACAAGCAGCCGTCGCTCATTTTGGAAACAGTATTGCCGAAAAGGAACAATTGATACAGAGGCAGCATGAACTACTCACTCAACAGACGGTTGTATTGGATCAACTGAACGCACAGCTGGAAGCCAATGCTGTCGAGTTAGCAGGAGTTGAACAATTGAGTGAGAGTTTTGCCCAACAATTAGCAGCAAAAGACAGTGAAATTCAAAATTTGTCAGGGCAGCTCATGGCCCGACATGCGGTTGTAGCCACCCAGACTCACAATATAGAGAAACTGAACAACGAGAAAGAAACAATGACAGCTAAGCTGACTGCGAAGGAAAATGCGGTTAATCAATTGAGACAGAATTTGGAACAACATACGGAAGCCCTTACACAGGCTCAAGCAACCAATCTAGATCTGACCCAACAATTGTCAGCAAAGATGGATGAAATTCAAGCTTTGAAAACCCGGCTCACAGAAAATGGAAACTTGACACGCCAGAATGAAGCCATGACAGCCGAGCTGACCGCAAAGGAAAATCATGTTACTCAATTGGGACAGAGATTGATGCAAAATGCTAACGCCCTTGGCGTGTTTACCGCCGAATCGAAACGTAAAGATGAAGAAATAGCAAGTTTAACTGAAAAAGTCAACAAGCTCAATAAATTAACACCTAAATACAATGAATTGGAAGATGCATTGCTTAGTATACGAACGCTATTAAGTAACATCAGTACTGGTGAAACAAGCACAGTACCAGATATCAATAGCACAACATCAGACTCTAACGTTTCGATTAGTTCTTTGGTAACCAAAATCGAAGCTATCATTAACGAACGCAAGATAGCACAGATGACAAAAGCAATAGCTCCGAACATCCAGGACTACGTCAAACAAAAATTGAACCGCACCGTGGCTCAAGCGATCGATGACCTACATGGCAAAGTATACCTCTGACATGGACGCCATTTCCGCAACCAACAATGTGAAATTAGACGACGTCTTCAGCCCAATGCTCACACGAATGAAGAGCAAAACCAGTGATCTCACTCAACTCTACAATGTCTTCACCACGAGCGGATTCAGTTTCGTGCCCCAGACGTGAACATGGTATTTCTTGCGGTCCAGTTGTCCTCATAACCCTGGATTCTGTTACGCACAACAGCAACGCTTTTCTCCAATGACTTGTAGATTGATATCAACCCAGTTTTCAAATATGATACATACCAGTCATACCCAGTTATCATCTCAGTAAGAGCATCGCTTATGACTTGAATCTTTGAAATGTCGACGGAACATGTTGTTGCTGGTGGTTTCGTATAGGCCGACTCGATAAAGGTTGCCAAATTCGATTCAAACACATGAAATGCGGCGTCAATTGCATTTTTAACAGAATCGTCCATGATCAGCCTACACTTTCCAGAAAATCAAGAAAAAAATGACAATCAATCCAACCCTCCCAAATCCAAACCACAGTAATTGGAGCTGTTCTTATCGGTGTGATACATACCCAGACGATGCGCCTCGCGCTTGAGGAACCGGAAGTTTTCCAAAAACTCCCCGTTGTGACCCTCGGAAGCACTTGCCACATGGGCCAGCTCGTGGAGCATGACGTACATTAGCAGATTCGGGGGTATCACTTCCCCGGTCTGGCGATCGCGAATGCACATGGAGATCAGCGTGCCCTTGTTCACCGTATACGACGTGAACTCGGCATTCCGCGTCTCCTGCATCCTTGTCGGGCTAAACCGAGCCCGGAGTCTGTCGAGAGCGATGCGCTCCTTATCGGTGGTCGGGTTGCAGTGGTTGATGATATGGCTAGCATCAACTCCCAGTTTCCCGAGTATCCGAAAGCTCTCTGCATTGACGTCGTCATTTTTGGATTCATTGACGCAGATGGCTTCCTTGCCGGGTAAGCACACCTGCTGACGATATCTCGATCGGAAACACACGCACACGGCGACAATGAGGAGTACTGCCAAAAAGCCGATCCAGTTTTGTAAAGACATGGTGAGCGTCTTTCATTCAGCCCTGAAAAAAATCGATTTTCACTTGGGAGGCTGGAACATGGCATTGCGTGCCTCCCATCCCTTCAGGTACTCGGTATCCTGTTTCAAAACATGCTCCTTGACGTCTTTGAGGGATTGATAGTACTCCAGCAGGTTGTCTCGGATGGTTTTGATGAGCTCTTGCTGAATCTTGATGGTGTTTTCGAGCTCATCCATCGTAGTCTTCTCGGTCTCTGGAGTGACGGGTGCGGACGATGGCTGATCCATTCTGGGCTACGTTTGTGGGAAGAAAAAAAAGGAACTGCGTTGAATGCACCCCCTATATTCTCTCGGTCAATGAGCAGAAGCCTTGTCATGTCGGCCAAGGAGATTTTCAAGCGTTTTATTGAGTATCTCAAAGAGAACGGCAGCGAAGCCCAGCGCACGACCGGCCGTGCTCTCTCCAATACATTCGACACCCTCTTGGGGCATTTGAGTGAGCCGATCTTTGTGGATATGTGCGGGGACGTCAACTCGTCGATTCTGCGGGATGTGTCCTTCTTTGAAGCAGCCCGTGACCCCAAGGGACGGGCTATCCTCGAGGAGATGCAGGGGTTCTGCAAGGGAGTCGATATCTTCCTGAGCGCCGAGCCACCAGAGGAGCTCAACCAGCTCGCAACGCAAAACGAAATGATGGCCAATATGACCAATGCCCTGGGGAGCTTTGTGTGCAGCCCCAACTTCAGCAATCTCTCGCAGCGCATCAACGACCTGCTCACTGAGGAAGACACCCGCGAGCTGAGTACAATCATCGATATGGTCCAACCGGACACCAAGTCAACCCCCGATCTGCAGCCCCAAGACATCAACGCCATGTTCAGCAAGCTCACATCCGCATTCAGCCAGAACCCGTCGGTCCTCGAGCACTCCTTCCAGCGCATCCGTGGTATACTCGAGCGCGACCCAGAGATTGACGGGATTGTGCGATCCTTTGCCACCATGGCTCATGGCAATCGATAGATATCAAAGAAGCTGTGTCTCAAGAGCTGCTCCGGTGTCCACATGATGTCTCCGAAGAGGTCGAGTGCCTCTTTCCGGATATGACCGTGGTAGAGATAGGCGTTGGTCACCCCGCAGCTGCTGCACTGGCTGCACTGGCTGGACCCACTGCACGACGACACCTCGCTGAAGGCATCATCGCCACTGTCATTGTCGTCGAGTAGGTCTGCCTCTTCCGGTGTGTATTCTGCTTCCGAGACCTCGTCGTCGGTCTTGTAAAAGTCTGCGTCGGAGAATGCATCTTCGTCCGTGACATCGCTGTAATCGTCGTCACTGTCGGCGTCGTTGGCGCTGTCGTTATCCTCGGCCGCATCGGTTCGGTCGATGGTCAGCTGATCCAGCTGCTCCCTCGATGGTTTTCGAGGAGGCATCAACTCAGACGGGTACAGGCTGAAGACAAAGTCTTGGATGACCTGCGGCATATCGCTGAGCTCGCCGAGCGAGTTGATGAAGAAGTGGAGATCCAGGCGCGGATCGAACTGGCCGACCGGGGCGACTCCATCGAGTCGCTGGTTGAATGGGTTTTTCCAGCCGAGTGAATGGAGCTCCGTGAACTCAAAATCCCACAGCTTGGGCATGAGGCCGCCGGGTGGATCACAAAAGAAGCGAAAGTCACCATGGGTGTAAGTGATGCCCTTCGAATCGGTCGTGTCCAGCAGGATGTTCCCATAATGCAGATCGTAGTGGATGAACTTGTATTTCTCCTGGAGAACGTAGAGCGACCAGACGACGGCAAAGATGATATAGCGCCACTCGGCCTCTCCGATCTCGTGGTGGTTGTCCTCGAGACTGCCATTCTCGATGAATTCGCTCTGCAGCACCTGGCATTTGTGGTAGATGACGTTTTTGAGGAACTTTAGCGGGAAGCAGGTGAGGGCCTTGCTGCTGTTCTTGACGACATGATCCGAGATATATCGGGTGATATGCGGGGTGCATTTGCTCTGGGTGAGCTCCTTGAGCACCCTGGCCTCCATCAGAGCTGGGTGTTTGTCGTCCAGCGGATACTCGGTCTGCAATGGAATCACTTTCACGCCGTAGAGCACGCTGTCCTTGGACACAGCGCATGGGAACCCTTTGACGTCGTCGATATCGACCGAATGCAAGAGCTCGCATTCATCGCCGCCAAAGTGCTTTTGGGTGCAGTCAATCACAAACATGATGCTCGTGGGCTAGCCGAGGACGGAGAAATCAAAGTCGTCGAAAAAGCGCACAAAAATTTTCTCATACCTCTCGCAAGCTGCGCGTGTGGCCACTGAACGAAACCAAACCCGAACGCAATGGACGGATCGAGCCCAGTTTCTCTCTAGGAGATGGTATCTCCGACGCTGTGCTGCGCGTACTGCGCGTACTGCGCGGCGCAGTGGGTCGTGACCTGTGCTGCGCTTTGCGTTTTCACGCACCGCAGGCAGGCCACCGCAGGGTATACCTGCGGGTTGCCCCCGTTCCCCCCGTTTGTCTGGAGTTCGGTTTTATCGTGAATAAACGTAAGTGCTCCCCGAGCTCACCCGTCCGCTAGAGTAGCCTAGCACCGCCCTGTTCTGCCCCGTCCTGTCTTGTCTTGTACCCCCTCCCTCCCCGTCTTGCCCCAACGTCCCAGTAGTGGACGTTACATGGTAGCATCGGAAATCCTCGTCTTGTTTTCGTCCTGTTTGTCCTCTTTCTAGATCCTCAAGCTGGATCCCGCCTCTCTTGCCGACCGACTCTCCTCTCTGTCCCTGGAGCCTGCCCCTGCCATGAGCAACCCCCGCCCACTTCCGGAAGCCTTCCTCAAGACCTTCCGTGCCCCAGTGTTTACTGGGAAGAGCCGCTCCTCCTCGGTGGAGGACTGGCTGCAGCAACTCGAGGACTACCTCGATGCTGCCCAAGTCGCCCCCACCCACCACATCGTCGCCGCCAAGCTCTGCTTAAAGGACCAGGCGTACCGTTGGTACCGCCGCCAAGGGTTCGACGAGCAGAGCGAAGGTGTGTTTGACGACTTCAAGGACCGCCTCCGTCGCCGCTTCGGCAGCCCCAATGCTGAACTCATTGCCCGTGACAAGCTATACTCTCTCGTGCAGCGTGGTTCTGTGACCCGCTACATCGAGGAGTTTGAAGACCTCTCCTCCCAGATTGAGGAGCTGGGCTCTGCTGATGCGATGTACCTCTTCCAGAAGGGCCTCAAGCCCAAGATCAGAGAGTACATCGCCAGCAACCCTGATGCCCGCAAGTCCCTGGACGTGATGATGGACGTTGCCGAGAACCTCGACAACGTCCAGTACCATGGCCGCCAGTTCTACCCGCAGCTGGCAGGCGGCCATCGGTCTCATCACGTCCCAGCCCGTCCGCCTCGCCCGGCCCCGCCCGCAAGACCCATGCCTGAGCCCATGGACGTTGACGTCAACGCCATGGAGGCTCGTGGCCCTCCCCGCTCCCGGTTCCAGCAAGCTGCCACTGTCTCCCCCAAGGACAGACAGAAGCAGGAGGACCTCCGCCATGGTTCCTGCTTCTTCTGTCACCGACCGGGACACCAGGCCAAGGAGTGCCCCATGAAGTCGGGAAACGGCCGACCCTACTAGGTGGCTCTGGAGCCCTAGTAGGAGACCAACGCCGTGGATTGCTCAATGCAGTCCACGCGTCTCCAGAGGAAGTTCACCTCGCCCCCTCCCCCGAAGGAGAAACAAACCAAGTGTTGTGCGTCGTGCGAGAGGTGCATGGTGGCGCAAGCCGCCTGCCTCTCCACGAACGTGAAGAGAAAACCAAAATTGAAAACCAAAACAAAAAAGAAAATCAAGAACCCTTGAGGGACAGGACCGCCTGTGCCCTCACCCCTGTCAAGTCGTGTGTGTCGGATGCTTCCGACATGTGTCCGCAAGCCGTGGACGTCGTGTGCAATGGCGTGCTGACGCCGCAGGCCCCCGCAATGGCCGAACCCTATCCAAAATGTCCGAGTGGCCGTGATGAAGCCAACCAAGACCAAGTGTCGCCCGTTCCCCCAAGTCAAGTCATGGTGCAGGAGGCTGTGCAGGAGGACCATGAAGAGTCCCTGCTGTACCTCCCTGCCACCGTCCAAGGTCACACCGTCCGAATGATGGTGGACTCTGGAGCAAGCTGCAACTTTGTCAGCAGACGCTTGCTCCAGGAGCTGTTAGGGATAGCTTCTGCTTGTTCTCCACTTTGACTGCACACTTGGCTGTTCTTTTGCCTTTCTGTTTGTTTGTGTGTAGCTTTGCAGTTCCCCTCCAATTTTCCGCCTTTTGCCTGCCATTTCCGCTCCTTCCGCACTTCCGTTTCCCCGCGCTGCTCCGCTTCCTTTGTCTTCTTCGCACGCGCCGGTTTGTTTGTGCACGCGCCTTGCTGCGATTGGTTGCAATTCGGCTGTCATGAACACCCTCTGCCTTTGCCCTCTTCCTTCCTTTGCCTTTGCCCTTTCCTTTCTGTTTGCCTGCCTTAGCGCTTTCCCTTCCTTCTGTTTGTTTGTTTCCCGCGCTGTGCTGCCTTGTTGTCTTCCCGCCAGCACGCGCGCTGTCTGTGTTCCGTTCCCGCTTCCTTGCTGTTGGTCGTGGGTTACGCCCACGACGCCGCCTCGACGCCGCCTGACGCCTTGGCGCCGCCATGCCGCCGCCACTGACGCCCGCTGACTCACGGATCCCGAGTCACGGCCGCCACCTGCTTCGCTCGCTGCTTCGCCCTCCCCGCCGCTGCTTCGCTCCTGCCCCCTCGCTCTGCAACGTCGATCCTTGGCGCTCGCATAAATAGCCCTCCGACCAGCCTCTGTCTTTTGCCTTCGTCTTGCCACTTTGTATTTTTAGTATCCTAAGCCTTGGATCTAGAATAAAACTTTGGCTTCACACTTGACACTCTGTGTCCCAGTCCAGTCCCCGCTCCTCTCCCTACGTTCGAGTCTTGCATTAGGACTCTTGCGCGCTTCCCTGCTTGCCCCGTTGTCCAGTCTTGACACTTGGCAAGACCTTCAACAACCCCCCACTTGCCCAGCTTTTGTCCCCGTTCCCTTCGCTATCTCTTTTACCAATGGCTTCCCCTTCTGGCCTTTCCGAGCCCGAGCTCCAGGCCATCCGTGCGGTCATTATCCAGTCCGCCGAGAACGCCCGTTCTCTCCAGGACTTTTCCAAGTTCCTCCACGATCAGGATGATGCGCTCAACCGCATCACCGATCGTATGGACCAGGTCCTGGCTCGCCGTGAAGAGGATGTCCGCCAAGTTGTCGCCGCCAGTGTCCAGGAGGCCCTCCGCAGCTACCAGGCCCAGCTACCTCCTCCAGTTCCTGCTCCCGCTCCGATCCGTCGCGCAGGTCGCCCCTACTTCGGCGTACCTGACGACGTCGATGATCCTGCCCAAGACCCCGAGGATCACTCTGCTGGTCGCAACTCTGCCACCAGGCAGATAGGTCCTCCCGACCGCTTCTCTGGTAAGGACCCGAGCCGCTGCAATGCCTTCCTCTCGCATTGCAGACTGGCCTTCGTGTCCAACCCTCCCCTCTTCCAGACTGAAAGGGATAAGGTGTTTTACGCCTTATCCTATCTCGATGGTACTGCTGCAGACTACATGCAGCCGTACATCGATCAGTTGGAGAGAGACCCCGAGTGCTCTCCCCCTGCCATCCGTGACTTTGCCGGTTTCTCCGAGTGGCTCCGTGCTGCCTTTGGCCAGGTCCAGCCCACCATCGCCGCTGCTCGCGAGATGGTCAGGCTTTACCAAGTCACCTCCGCCGCCGCCTATGCCGCCGAGTACCGCCGCCAAGCCGTCCACCTCGTCACTTGGTCCCAAGACCCTCTCATGTTCCACTTCGAGAGTGGACTCAAGCCCTCGGTTCAAGATGAACTCTCCCGCCGCTCCTTCGACAACCTCGAAGATCTCATGCAAGCGGCGATCGCCATCGACAACCGCCAGGAGGACCAACGCTCCCGCCGTCCCAACCACCGCTCCGCTCCTGCTCCTGCTCCTGCTCGTCCGGCTCCTCTCCCTTTCCGTCCGGCTCCTCGTCCCTTCGCTCCTGCTCCTCCTCCTCGCCCCGCTCAAGCCTTCAACGTTCCCCAGCCCATGGACCTCAGCCAGGCTTCCGCTCGCAGGCTGACCGCCGAGGACAAGGCCGCCCTCCGTGCTGCTAATCGTTGCTTTTATTGCAAGCAGGAAGGGCACATTGCCCCTCGCTGCCCCAATAAGGCATCCTCCCGCTTGGCTGCCATCGATGCTTCTTTGGCTGTCGTTGATGTGAATAAACTTGACGACCAGGAAAACTTCTCTGCCTAGAAAAGGTCGGAGGAGCTTTCCTAGGCGTCAATCATGTCATAAATCTTCCTCCTGTAAATGTCTCCACGGTAAATCACTCTTCTGCCTTTTGCCATCTTGCCCCCGTCACCATTGCCACCGTTTCCACCGCTCTTGCTTCTTCGTCTTCGCCTCCCGAGCCTGACATCCAACGTCAGCCCTCCCTCGCTGTGACTCTGCTGTGCGGTCCAGAGTCCATACGGGCAACCGCCATGATCGATACCGGCGCGGTTACTTCGTTTATGGACACTGGATTCGCCGCAACCCACGCTCTCCCCACCTTTGAAACTTCTTTCGTCATCACTCTTGCCGATGGTTCTTCGATGGAGTCTAGTCTTGGAGTTTGTGTTTCTATGATCACAGGCATCAGCCACTATGAACAAATCTCGTTCGCGCTGATTCCCTTGGCTTCATACCCGATCATCTTGGGTATGGATTGGATCAAGAAACACAAACCCTACTTTGACTGGCACCATGACTCTATTTTCTTGCCTTGCACCTCTATCCACAGTTTGGCCTCCCCGTTCTCTCCCGAGCCACAGTCCTCTAGGTCCAGCCCTGCCGAGTCCCCTGCTGAGGTCCCCGCCGAGCCTGCCGTGTCCCTGCCCGAGTCCAAGATTGTTCCTGCCAAGTCCCCAGCCGAGTCCCCAGCCGAGCCCGAGATCCTCCCTGCCTTGCCTCCTGCCGTGCCCAAGCCCAGTCCTGCCTTGCCTCCTGCCGTCCCAAAGACCAAGACCAAGACCCAGTCCCTGCCCAGCGTCAGCCTGATCGGCAGCATCCCCTTCCAGCACGCCGTCCAGAAGGAAGGCCTGGAAGTGTTCCTCTTGGATGCTGCCCGAGTCCTGTCCCTCTGCTCCGTCGACGCTGGAGCCAAGCCCAAGGCCGAGCCCTCTGTCCCCTCCAAGTACTCGTCCTTTGCCAAGGTGTTTTCCAAGTCCGAGGCCGACAAGCTCCCCCAGCACCGCCCTTACGACCACACGATCCCGTTGGTCGAAGGTGCGTCTCCGTCGTTTGGGCCCGTCTACAACCTCTCCAAGCCG